CCGGGAGAGCGGCCAGTGCATCCCGGTGGTTGTGGTGGTTCTCATTCATTCGTGTCCGTCCCGTGGAGCACAGGGGCAAGTGGCGTCACGCCCATTTCACAGATGGGGAGAATGAGGCTGACCGTGGGACCCAGGGGTTCGCACCTGGCGATCAGCCGTTCAGGCTCGGCAGCTCCCGCCCCCCAGCACCCCCTGGCGCCGTGGACTCCCCACTGGGCGCGTTCCCTCCGGCTTGGGGACTGTGTAGCATCGTCCTCCTCGATCTCGATCTCGGTGTGTGATTGGTTGTCTGGGATGGTACACTGAGGATGTCCACAAGGCGGATGAACTCAGTGCACCCAGAGGGTGCCTGTCCTTTGTTTTTAACTCCCTGGTTTCAATAGCAAGGTTTTGAAGTCTGAGTTTTAGGCGTCAGTTCTTTGCTGTTTCCTGAAAGTTTTATTTCCAGATGGCTGGCGCCGTCAGAATCACCGAACGTTACCAATCCAGACCAGTTTCACTGCTGCTAAAAGGAAACGGTTGGAGTAGATTTCCAGAGTTCCCACCAGCCCGAGAATATAGTAATAGAATAATGCCACCCGGGGTACCAGGTGTTGTATGGTTTGAAAGTTGCATCCCTCGCAGCCTCTAGGGCCAGCAGGGCCATGGGGCATCTTGCTCCCCAGGGATGCTCCCAGGGTATGGCAGGTTGAGTAATAAGCTCACATTGAGAAAACCCCTTAGCCATTCTGTGACCCTTTGTGGATACTAATTAGGTGGTCGTTATAGCTGTAGTTCTGATGCAACGCTTTTCGAGTGTCATTTTAAAGTGCGTTTCTATGAATACCTGTTAACGAGGCAGGTAGGCTCTGCCGGTCGTTTAGGTTTTAATAAAATGGAGACACAGAAACCGAATAAGACTAGTTATTAGACAGGTGCTATGTCCTATTCCATCACGGAAGCCTCAGAGAATCTTCACTTCCTGAAACACAGCTGGTGGGAAAATGAAATGACAAAAAAGTTTTGAATCAACCACTTTTTGCTAAAGAAAAATGGATAATGCTCAGATTTTCTGGTTTGAACTGACAGCTAATACAATGGCTTTTATAAATAATGCTAATTTTAAAAAAGGATATTATGTAGTTTAAAAAGTAATTCACGCTGTGTGGTCTGGTTATATTTTACTTCCCGATTCTAGGTTGAGGATTTGAACCTATTTTTATATATTTATGCTGAAAGGTCAAAAGGAGAAAAAAATAGAAACTCATGTTTTTTAATTTTAAAATCAATAAGAAGTAAATCCAAAAAAACAAAAAACAAAGCAGAACCCAACATATTGCCAGTACTGTTTGATAGTTTTATTTACTTTTCCAAAATGTATTTAATAAAATACTTTTCTCTATGGGAGTGAGATGGATTTTGTAGTTTACATTGGCCTGCGGAGGTAACAGTGAGAACACCAGACCAAAGTCTTATTTAAAATAATAATAATAATAATGACTTTTATAAGGATTGTCAGCCAACTAGCAACACTTTTGAAAAGCTTATGTAAATGAACTCTATGTTAATAATGGGATCTAAATTCTGAATCATGTTATTCCAAAGCTATTTAAACTGCAGAACGAAGACAACAACAAACTGAATTGTTTTTGGAGCGGATTTTTCACTTGTCAGCGTAATTTTAAAAAATATTGTTACTTTATATTTTATTTCTTCTAGGTGGTATGCTATTATGAATTGCATCCTGGAATTGATTTTTATAGACAATATGTTATTTTGTAAGAGCTTTTAGAATATGAAAGTTCATTTATTGGGGCTATAGATTATAAGAGTGACTTTCTATGGAACTTATTTGGTTTTCAGTTTAGAGAAGTCATTAACACACCTTGCATTATAGATTAGGGAATGTTTTTAAAAGCAGAAAAGCAAGAGGCACAGATAATGCACACGATGTGCATAATCCCCAAGTGCATTTATATTTGGTTTTAGAATGACCCTTCAAAAACACACAAATGCATATAGCACACACCTCACATCTAAGTTTATTTTCAATTTTGACCTTTGCAAACTGCACCACAACAGCTGGTAGGAAAGAGGAGTGGGTGTAACTAGGAGCAGATGGATACCTGAACATGAATTTGTTTTTCTTGAGTGATGCATTAATATTGCATGACTCTTTACAGTGAGCAATTTTATGGTGTAAGAATAAAGCCAAAATAGGGAAGAATTTTATTTCAAAGAGATTATCTGTTAAAAAAGAAAACAATAATATGCTTTTTGTTTGTTTGTTTGTTTTATATTGGGCATGACCTGGAACATTAAAGCAGGCATGCATTGTATCACAAATGGACCCAGATTATATAGAGGTGTGCTTTCTTGAGTTTTTTTACGTAGATTATAAGTAAAACAAAGCTCCCAAACTTTGTGATGTTCATACTAAACCCATACTCCAGCAACCTGGCAGTTTAGAGTATTTCTATGCCACAGCAGAACTGCCTGGCGACTTTCTGAATTGCACCTGCCTGTAAAGATTATAGCTAAGATTATTGCTAGTATCTCAGATTAGTGGATTATAAATATATAAGTCCATTTATCAGGTAAAATGGAAAATGGGACCTAAATACAGTCAAATTTCCTGTGTTCTCAAATCCAAGGGCAGTTTCATATAGTTTAGGCCTTACATGAAGTTATTTTCCAGTGCTCATGTATTTATCCAGCAGATGTTTATTGGGTGCCTTCTGTGTACCAGGCCCTGCTGATGCCCTGGAGGAGTTAGTTCACTTTGCCCAATGGGTTTAGCTTTTAAAAAATGCACACTGAAGCTTCGTAAGCCAAATACTTAAAAATGCATTAGGGAAGGAATGAATCCTTCTGTAAAACAAACAACCGATTACTAATAGATATGTAATGTAATACCAGGTTTCTCATATTTTGGCCTTGCTGAAAACATAGGTTTGCAGCCATTATTCATTTAATAAGTCATTGAACAAAATGTTTTTGATGCAGATATTTATGGGGCACCTACTATGTGTCAGGTACCGTTTGAAGAACTGGAGATTAAGTAGTGGACAAGGCACACCTAGTCCATGTGTTTATGGAGCTCGAATGCTAGACAGGAGGGACAGCCGGTAGGAGAAGTAGGCTAACAGATGACCAAGGTAGTTTCAGATGGTGGTGAGTGCTAGGCAGTAAACAAGGCAGTTTGATGGAGTGACTGAAGTCTGGGGTGGCGAGGAGGTGACATTTCATCAGAGTGGGTAAGAGGGCACTAAACATGGTCCCGGCAGAGGGAGCAGCAGGGACCTTTGCAAGGCCTGGAGGTGGCACCAGGTGGGCCTGTGGAAGCAGAAGGAAGAAGGCAGGTAGACCCTGAGCCCAGAGGGGTAATCTGGGCCAGACCATTTAAGGCTCTGTAGGCACCATACAGGTTTGGATTCTCTTTACAGTGCAATGGATGCCATTAGAGGGTGCGAAAGAACGGGAGTGACATCAGGCCCTGGAAGCAGAGAGACCGCACAGGCTGTGTGGTTTGGGCAGGAGGCGAGAGTGGTGGCTGGGACTTGGGGAGTAAGGAAGGAGCACCAGTGGATACATCATCGTTCTTTATCTTCTGAGATGATGTGACCCAGTGGCTTTGCTGTCTTGTTTGAGGTTGCTGCAAATGGCCAGGTAACTAATTGCTTCTGTGTTGAGTACAAGTGCAGCATGTCCGTTGTTCAGCTGCTCCTAACCACGGCTTTCAGGCGCAGCTGTGCCCAGCCACTGGCCTTATTTATTTACCTCTGAGGTTTTCTGTAGACTGGAGCAGCCCACCTGGGGTGCCTGAGATCAGTTGGACTCGCCTTTCTGTTTGCACAGCACACAGCAGCCTCCTGTAAGGTGTGATCTGACTAGCCAGTGTTCAGGCAGCAATTCTTCTGTCTTGCTTAAAGTCAGTCCCATGTCCGTGTGTCCTAGCTTCATGTGATGGGTTAATTAACAATAATATATTAAAAGTTGTTTTTTTCCTCCTGTAGACTTATATGACTTTTAATTAGTGGATGTTTGAGTTTAGTAAAGAGGGAAAACTTGTCGTCATAGTTAAACCATCCCTAGAATTTGAAAAATTTGCTGACTCTGCTCAGCAAAGCTAGTGTGGCCCTGAGTGAGATTTCAGCTGAGAACCTGTGGGGCATTTTTGTCTGGCAGTGATAGTAGTTCCTCTTGGCTTTGGGAGCCCAGGGAGGTTTTGCTAAGAGAGAATGGAGAAAAGCAGGGATAGAAACTCCACCTAATCCACGAGCCCAGAGCAGATCTCCTAAAGGGAAAAAAAGCAAACGTTAGTGTGCTTTCCACATTCCCTAAACTGAGCTTAGCCTATATGTGCCTCTGCCCCACCTTTCACCCCTTCCCTGAAACATCTCCGATTACTCATTCATTCATTCATTCATTCATTCGATGAATTGTACTACACAGGGTAGAAGATAAGCCCTAGGGCATGTCCTCTGCCCTGTGGGAGCTCCTCTGCAAGGGGAGGTTAGACCACCGGCCAGCTGGGCTGTGGCATGGGAGAGAATGGAGACTCTGGCCCTGCGTGAAGGTGGCCAAAGAGGAGTCACCCAAGGGTGGCAGGCAGTTGGAGTAGCACGTGCAGAGTGCGGGAAAGGCCTGCAAGCACGTGGGAGGAGCCTCAGGTACAGGCTGCTGGTCAGGCTGGAAGGAGAGTCCGCTGTAGGGAGTAGCAGAGGGTGAGCCTGGCCAGGTGAGCAGGGGCCAGGATGCACGTGGCATGCACACCCCTTCAGAGGAGCTGGCATTCTATCCTGGGGCACTGGGGATCCCTGTAGGGACTAAAGCAGATCTTTGCCCAAACTCTCGTAGCCACATTGTCCCTTCTGTGTGAGGCCTTGAGTTACAGTAATTTGAATATTTCATCTCCTCATCTAGCCTGTAAGCCCCATGAACACAGGGGTGGTGTTGTGTTTTATGCCAGTGCATACAGATCACTAGGGCATCTTGTTCAAATGTACTTCTGCTTGAGAAGGTCTGGGATGGAACCCAAGGTCCTGCATTTGCAACAAGCACCCTGGCGATGTTGCTGCTGCTGGTCTTTGAGTAGCAGAGTTCGCACTGTCTGTGTTTTCTGTTATAGTTACCTTTAGACACAGGAGCTGCTATTTTTTTTAAAACAAATGCCATGATTTCAGGTTTGTTCCTTGTATCTTCTGGGAGGATAACAGTAGAAATTAATGTTAAGTAAAACTTAAAAACTTAAAATCAACAGTAACCTTGAAGTTGAGTGTCTGGGGAACAGGAGTGGAAGGAAGATTTTACACTGTGTACTCTTTTTTTCCGTTTATTGATTAAGGTATTACATATGTGTCCTTA